GCGCCGCCGGGCGGCGTCGCGGTGCCGCCCGGCGGCGTGTTCCAGGCGAAGGTGGTGGTTGAGGACTGGCAGGGCAGCAGGATCGCGTCCGGCAGCGACGCCAACCTGGTGCTTCAGGTTTGTCGGCGCCGGGGGGTGGGGGTTGGGAGGCGTTGTGCAGCGCAGTGCAGGCTTGGGTCTGGCGGCTGAGCGGCGAGCTTTGGGTGATGGACGATGAGGTGGCTGCCCTCAGGCCTGCTGTGGCGGAGGCAGGCCCGGCAGGCTGGCCCTCCGGCTGCACTGCGCGGGGCCTGGTTTTGGGTGGGCTGGTCAGTGGTCGGCTTCGCTGAGCAGCGCGAGCCGGTCGTGGACGGGCGTTGCTGCGCTGGGACCCGCCGCCAACTGACACACCCCCTCTTGAAACCACGCGCCACAACCAAGGACGTGCGCACTCCTTACACGAGGGCATCCACCCCTCCTCCCCACAAACGACCCCCCGCCCGCACCGCCGCCCCACCTTGGACCCTCGGTCTTGCCGCCAGGCGCACGTGTTCAACGGGATCAAGTGGCTCAGCGACATTGTGACCGTCGGGAACTTCTCCATCGCCCGCCGCGGAGTCGCAGAGTTCCCTTCGCTGCAGGTCCGCCCGCGCAGGGGGCGCTGCGGGCGGGCCGCCGCCCATCCGCCGTGCATCGTTGGGCGACGCGCTTCGCTGGGCGCCGCGCTGGCGGGCACGACCTAGAGGCTGTTGTGGTTTGCGCCGCGCTAAGCAGGAGCGGCTTTGCACCTGCCACCACCGCAGTGCCACCACCCAGATTTGGTGATGGTGGTGGCGGTGAGGTTGGCGGTGGTGCATACGATTATATCAAATGCTACCGCCCTCTCATCTCAACTCTCATCCCCGACCACCCCGCGCCGCGCCGCGCGACAGGTCATGGCACCCCCCGGCAACTACCAGCTGCGCTTCGCGCCGCTCGCCCTGCAGCACCACAGCCTCGCGCCCGCCTCCCTCCCCCTGCGCGTCCGGGGGTGCGGCGTCGGGGAGGCGAACCTCACCGCGCTCGCCGGCGCGGCCGGCGCCGGCGCGGAGGGCGTGTTGGCCCCGTGCCAGCGGTGCCGGCCGGGTACAGTCAGCCTCGACCCTCTGGGCGCGGGCGGCTGCAACCTGTGCGAGAACTCCGCCCACGCAAACTGCACGGGCAGCGTGATGCTGCCCAACGACGGGTGGTGGCACAGCCACCCGCGCAGCCCGCTGGTGCAGCGGTGCCTCGTCAGCGCGGCGTGCGAGCACAAGGGGAAGCTGCCCGCGATGGCCGCGTGGGCGGTGGCGCACGCGGGGCGGACGATCACTGAGCTGGAGCCCATCTACAAGCAATACGTGGATATGCAGTGTGCACCTGGATATACGGTGGGTGGGGCGGCGGGTGGTTGCACTGGGGCCGCACGAGGCAGAGGGGACGCTGAGGCGGGACAGCCGTAGTAGATCGTGGACGAAAGCCTGAGCCGATGGAAGCTGTTCAGTCGGCACCAAGCGGCATCGGTGACACTCACCACGCAAGTTTTCTGACGCCTGGCATACTTAGACAAGCCCCTTGCACTTTCTTTGTTCCCTCCTCCCTCATTGACTGCAGGGCGTGCTCTGCGGCGAGTGCAGCGCGGGCTACGGCCGCCGCGGCCAGTTTTGCAGCCCTTGCTCCGGCGGCCACTTTGACAGGTTCGCCTACTTCATGGCCCTCAGCTGGATGTTCCTGCTGATGTCACTCTCCGCGGTCTTCCACCTGAAACAGGCGAGCGGGGCCCAACCGCCAGTACCGCGGGTGCAGATGGGGGCGCAAGATGGGATATCAGGAGCATGCGTCGCATTTTGCCGGTCAAGGGAGGGTGCTCGTGCGTAAACGCGCACGCTCGACCGGGGGTGCGGCTGTAAGCTTGCGTCATCAGGGCTCGCCGCTGCTCGGCCTGGGCAAATCCTCTGATCTGGAGGACCCCGTGGGCGGCTTCAACCCCAGCGCACGCCGTGCCGCCAGCTGCAGCTCCCCCGCCTCACCCTCTGCGGCCCTCTGCCGCCTCCCCCTCTCCCCCGCCGCCGCCACCAGGTCAGCCAGAAGCGCAAGGAGCACCTGCAGGACCAGGCGTCGGCTTTCTTCAACGAAGGCCTCGCCCCTGCTCCCGGCTTTGCGCCGCGCGCCCTCAACGGGCACGCCGCCAGCGTGCTCCACGAGACAGAGGAGGGGCCGGAGGACCAGCTCGGCCCTTTTGCTGCGCCGGGCGCGTCGCTTGCGAGCGGCGGGGGCTCGCGCGGGGCCCCGTCGCACCTGAGCGGCCCGGAGGGCTCCAGGAACGTGCCGGTTTTCGCCAGCCCCGAGGTGTCTCGGAACCTCGCGCACCTCGATTCCAGGAACAGCCAAGGGTTTGGCCGAGGTTTGGGGCAGGGCGCGCTGTCTGGCGATCTGGGACCCTTCGCCGGCACTCCCAGTGTCACCCTTGACGCAGCCAGCCCCTTCGAGAACCAGCCCAGCGCCTTTGCCGCCCAGGCCGGCAGGAGCGGCGGCGGGGGCAGCTATGGCGGCTACGGCGATGGCGACGTCGACGCCGACGGCGGTGCCAGGGCTGCGGGCTCCAGGGTCATGCGGCGCCAAAGGTCGAGCCTCAAGCGCATCTGGAGCATCGACACCGTCGACGGCCAGAGGGCGGCCGCCGCCTTGCTCCAACAGCCGTCCGTCGGCGCGGCGTCCAGCGGCCACCGCGGCACCCTCACCGGCACAGGCACGGCCGCCTCGGACGCGGCCGCGTCGGTGCCGGTGCCGCGCCGCAGCCAGACGTGGCTGTCCAACATTTTCAAGCTGCTGATCACGCACCTGCAGCTGCTGGGGCTGCTCAGGGGAATCCAGATGGACTGGCCCGGCGGTTTGGACAAGGTCGGCCACGTCCCAGGGTCTGGGAGGGGCGCGGGAGCTGGGGGGTAGGGACCAGGCTGCAGGAAGGTGTAGGGCATCACCTGTGCTTGTGGCTGGGCTCGCGACAGCGATCTGCTGGGGTGCGGGCGGAGTCAGTAATGCTTGTCCAGCAGGCACAACACACCTGTGGGGCTGCCCTGCTGCGCTCTACAGCCCCGGGCGCCTCCCTGCTGGACTCGCGAGCACTCCCTGCCGACCCTCACCGCTCTCAACAACCGCAAACCCTGCAACCGGACCTGAAACTGCACCACCCCTCCATCACCCCTGCAACCAGGCCCTGAGCTACGTGGACCAAACCCAGGCCTTCTCCACCTGGGTTGTCGTCGACTGCCTGTTCGGCGGCAACCAGCCCGGCAATCCGGCAGGCCTGCGGCCATCCATCATACGGATCCTGGTGCTGCTGATGCTGCCTAGTGAGCCCCATCCGGTTCTCCCAGACAGCGCAATGCCGCGACGGCGGCGCGTCCTGCTTAGCGGCTCTGGGCCGTGCAGCCAGCTGACGAGCGCGCTCTGGCCCCAGCGTGCGTCCTAGGCCAGCGCTTGACAACTGACTGCACACTCAGCGCGATGTGACAACTGACAACGCCCTTTCGCTCCCTGCACGACCGCACCTCTTCCCCTTCGCACCCTGCCAGTCGGCGCGACGGCCCTGGGCGTCCTGTTCTGGCTGGGGGTCGGCTGCATCCACTGGCTTTTCCGGAGGCATGGCGGGCCCCGGGCCGTGCGGCGGCCCGTGGCCTGGTCCTACTACCAGCCGCGCATCGTGATGACGATTGGCATGGTGCTCTTCTACTTCTACCCGCAGGTCGGGCCAGTTGGCAAGACAAATGAATGCAGGATACATAGATTGCGCTTGGATTCTGTTGTGTCTTGATATGCGTCATCCAGTACAAAGGCAGCGTAGCCTCTTGTCACCTCGGGGTTGTATGCGTGACCCGCGTGATCGGCGAGCCATCCCAGCACTCCTGCTTCCTAGGGCTTTGCGTTGCTGCCCCTTTCTGCACCCACGGCCCCGCTGGGCCTGCTTGCACCCTCCACCCCAGCTGGGCCCCCCCCACCCACCACTCGCGCACGCACACAGCTCATGCAAACCCTCCGACAACCCGTACACACGCACGCACGCAGGTCTCCGACGCCGTCGTGTCGATCCTGGTGTCGTGCACCCCGGCCGACGAGCCCTCGAACGTCCCGCGGGGGTTCCTCCCAATAGCGGGCCAGTCCAGCCCGGGCGGCAGCGTGCTGACGGCGCTCAAGGCGGTCGGCAGCTACTGGAACCTGGTGGGCCGGCTGCAGGAGGGGGGGCCGGCGGACGGGCTCGCGGGCTGGGGAGGCCCCTGCCATGTGCAGGCGGCGCTCTCGGGAGCGAGGGCGGCTCCGATGAACCGCCTCATTTGGGCGGGCTCACTGAGCTCGGCGCAGCGGTGGTCTGCGTCTGTTGCCAACGCCTATTTTTGCAGCTCAAGAATAAGCTGCTGCTGCCAAGGGGCCCCTTTTCGCGTTTCCTTGTCACTGCCGGGCTCCTATCCGCAATCCCGCGTCTGCTCCGGTTGATCTGCGCCCTCCAATCAACGTCCTGCTCACCTGCGCCGACCCCCACCCCCTTCGTTTACTGCCCTAGCATCCCCCTTGCCGCCCCGAACCCCCAGGACACCCATTACCAATGCTTCGAGGGCCCGATGAAGTGGATGCTCGCAATGGGGATAGTGTGGCTTGTGCTGTTCTGCGCTGGCTTCCCTGTCACCATGGCGCTCATCCTGTGGGCCAACAAATCAAAGCTGGAGGAAGAGCTGGTGGGTAATCGTGAACGCACGTGTCAGTTGGCCCAAAGGCCACGCTCAACCTTGTGTTGTGGGGGTTTGGGACTTGGCTGGCTGGATGAGGGCTCTGAATCACGCCAAATGGTGTATGAAGGGCACGCGTCGAACGCAACCGCAAGGGTCCTGCCCCATCATAATGAGCGCCGTCACTCATAAGTTGCCCCCGGCTGTCACTAAGAATCTGACCCGTCTTGCATACAGATTGAGCTGAAGTACGGGTTCTTCTTCGATTCGTACCGCGCCAAGTACTTCTTTTGGGAGTCAATCATGCTGCTGGAGAAGCTCGCGCTGTCACTAGTGCTGACCGGCACGGCGCGGTATGGCGCCCCGCCGCAGGTAATGGTCGGCCGGGGTGGGTCCGTGCGTGCGCCCTACCTGCTCTCAATCCACAGCTGCTGCTGCTGCTGCTGCTGCTGCTGCTGCTGCTGCTGCTCCTGCTGCTGCATACGCTGTTCATCCCATCTTCGGCAAGTTGAGGAGATGCCGCGTCAATAACAGTCGCCAGATTGCAGCGGCCGAGGCTGGCAGCCACGGGGCGCTGCGACTGGTAAATTCTGCGGGGCATCATACATCACACCACACCAAAACTCCCATCATCGCAGGTTCTGGGCGCCCAGTGCGTCATGTTCCTGTTCCTAATGGTCCAGATCAGGTGCCGGCCCTACGCCTGCCGCATGCTGGACACGCTGCAGCTCGCCAGCCTCTACGCCCTCATGGGGTGAGCCGGCGGCGCATGAGATCATTTAGCCGCAGGAATGTCACCCTGGGCCACGCAGCTTGGAAGACGGGCAGCGCCTGGCACCTGCACCATGCACCAGGCTGCTGGGTCAAACAGGAGGGCCAGCATGAGGCCGCGTTTGCTTACAGGCTAGGGGAGGGCCAAACGGCGCATGCTCCACAGCCGCAGCTTCCACGCCTCCCCTGGCACACCTCGACACGGGCGCAACCCTCAGCACCCTGCACGCAAGCCCTCACTCCGGCCGCCCCACATCAACTGTCAACCCCCGACGCTTGACCCCCCGCAGCACGTCGTTCGTTATGATGGCCCCGGCCCTGAACGAGGTTATGGCCGCCACCCTCGGCGCCAGCGACTTGACGACGTCGGCCGTCACCGGCGCCGCGCTGGGCGTCGCCGGCATCCTGAACATCTCGGTGGTGGTTGCCTTTGGCTACGCGATGTACGTGGAGGGCCGCCGCATGCTGCTGATAGCGCTCGACAAGGACGGCGACGGCCGCATCACCTGGGAAGAGAGCAAGACCTGGCTCTGGGCCCACCTGCCGCCGCTCGCGCGCCGCGCGCTGCCGCGCAGGCTGCGCCCCGCGGCGGCCGGCGGGCCCGGCGGGCCCGGCGGGGACGGCGGCAGGGGTGGTGCTGGCGGCGGCCAAGGGGAAAAGGCGGCGGCTACGGTGGTGCCGCCGTTTGGGCCGCCGCAGGAATTTGTTGACGGGCCACCCACCTTGAATGGGCGGGTCATGGATTGAATACTAGTAGCATGCAGGTCGGCTGCAGCTGGCGCCCTTTTGGCACGCTCGGCACCGGGTTATTGCAAATCTTCGGGTTGGGGTCTGGGCGGTCGGCGCGGCAGTGTCGCGCGCCGGCCGCTGCAGCATCTCAGCACGTCCGCTCTTCACTTGCAATGCAGCAGCCGGGCGAATGGCATGTGTGTGGGTCAGCGCCGGCTGCATCCTGTTAGTCACGGGTGCGTCGGTCATGGCTGCAGTACGCGCACAGCCGCCTCCCATCTGATTTGCCACGTGCGTTGTTGGTATCAACATTATCGCGCGCACACGCACACTTGAACCCCACACAAACTGCACCGGCGTTTGCCGCCCTGCTGCTGCAGCGCGGGGCGATCTCCAAATCTACTACTCTTGTTGCTGGATGTTCTTGCATGTCGTACGCGCAGTCATGCTGTGTGTGATGTTTATACACACCAAACAAATCTATCCACACACACCACCAGACACACCCCAGCCTGACACTTCCGTCAGCCCAGCACCTCCTCACCTGCCACCCTCAACCTGGGACCTCGCGCTGTGACCTCAAGTGTTGCCTTCCTTTATCTGTAAACGGGAGTGAACGCTCGGACATGCAATCTATCAGCATGGCTGCCTCGGTCGACGCGTTCACTGCCCAGTTGCAGTGTCGAGCAGTAGGCTTCTGAGGGCTGCGGTGAATACGGGGTGGTGATCGAAGAGGTGATTAAGGGGGGAAGTTACAGCAGGTGACAGAATTTGCATCACAAGGCAACATGCAGCATTGATGGCTTTGATGTTGCAGGGCCTCCATGTCCTGGTGAACACCCGACTGTTCCCCCAAAACACACACACACACGCACACACACACACGCGCGCGCGCGCACACACTTACACACACGCGCACACACACGCACACACACATACACACACACACACACACACACACACGCACGCACGCACACGCCCACAAGCAGGTAGCAGGTTGAACGCACGCACGCACACGCATTCAAGTACAATATTGGTACGGTGCTGCAGATAGAGGCGCGGCACCTGCAATAACGGGCGGCTGGTGATTGATTGGCATTGGCATACGGGGCAACCGGACAGCGTATGCGCACATGGATTGAACACTGCCTTGCACCTCGTGTGGGAACATACAGGCAAGCTGCAACCAAGAGGACAGCACAACAAGAAGGTTCTGGACAAATCCTGAGGTATGGCAAGCCAGCTGTCAAATGCACCCCACTGGTCAAATGTGTCAGCGCTGGTTCGAGGCGTGTCTGGCTTTCACCTGGGCACATGCGTGCCGCGCCACGTCCGCCAGGCGCAGGGCAATCTTTGCACAGCCCGCAAACCCTTCTTACACTGCACACATATAAGTGGCACTGGCGAGGCAATGCACGCACGATGGGCCACGCGCGCGGGGGTTTGGCGCAACATGCAGCAGTGAATGAAACATGCAGCAGCATTTTCGGTCTTCCTGAAAGCACCGTTACAGCAACCACAATTGTTCCAATGCAGGCCCTTTGTGCACACGGTTGTGCAACCGTGGCGCATGCCCCAACATGTTAATTTTGCACTTGGGCCTGGCTAGCCAGCCCCAACTATTTAACAATGCTCACGTGCGTTTGCTTGTGAGAATGCAGCCTCATTGCCGCACATGTTCACGCACCCTGCATCCGTTGAACTGAAACTACTCAACATTTGTGCACAGAGTGGCCAGCATTTTATATTGTTAAATGACGCATTGCTAGATGTCTTCCTGTTGCACCTACGTATGCAATGACACCCTGGACGTGTTGCCGTCTGAAGCGTTTTGGTAGGGTTATGATATCCCTGACCGCTGTGCTGCGCTGGTGCACAGGCAGCTAGTCGGGCAGCTGACATCTTGGAAGCTGGTCAAAGCACATGCAGTTTATCAAATATGATTAGGAGAGCTGGTATTGTAGAGTTACACGGCATTGTTGCCACTCAGCACTTGGCTGGTCGCTGCAGTGCAATGGACTGCAATTCGTACGACGTGCCCCCAACCATAAGCAGCCTGAAATAGAAAAGGCCATTGTGTGCGTGCATTCTTTTTCGATAGCAAACATATTGCATATGGACCAGCAGAAAGGTACAGAATGATAGTGCCGTGCATAGCACATGTTGTTTTCGTTGGCGGACAACAACTGAGTGCAATCGTATCACATCAGCCCAGCAGGCTGCCAGTCAGGCCGGCGGTCAGACCACCAGTATTGCCGCTGGTCAGGCCGGCGGTCAGGCCGCCAACAAGGCCGGTGGCGGTGTTGAGAACGCCGCCAACGGTGCCGACCACGCCGCCCGTGGTGCTGGTGACAGTGTTGAGGACGGGGCCGACGAGAGGACCAGCGACTGGGATGCTGCCAACCACGCCGGTGGCGGTGCTGGCGACGCCGCCAACAGTGCCGAGCAGGCCGCCCACGGTCCCGGTGACGGTGCCGACGACAGGGGCGACGATGGGGCCGGCAATGGGCAGGCGGCCGACGGTGGAGCCCACAGTGCCCAGGAGGCCGTTCACAGCGCCGGTCACGGAAGACACCTGCTTGAGGTCGCGCGCCGCCAGGGCGGGCGCAGCCAGGAGGAACACGGCCATGGCGGCCACAGCGAAAAAGCGAGCCATTGTGAAGGGTGGTTTGGTGAAGCCTGTGCGTGTTGGGAGCAGGGAAAGGGGTGGGCAGCGGCGACAAGACGGCTCAGGATGTGTTGCAGGATGGCTGGGAAGGGGGGGCGAGGGGGCCTCGGGTAGAAAGGCGCGGTGCTCATGTTCATGCCCTTCGATGTGACGCGCCATACACTTGCTTCGAGCACAATGAAACATTCCGGACGATCGTGCCTACCTGATGAAGGGGTGCGTGAGCGACCGACTGTATAATCGAGTCGGCGTGGTGGAGGAGGTGATAAACAATGATAGGAAATAACACGCGATTTATACTCGTGTCGGCGCTTACCAAGCTTCTCGCACCCCGGATTCTGACCACGGTTCATGACTCAATGACACACCGGCCGACAAGGTGGCCCTTTGTCACGGGATGGGTGTGTCCGAACGGCGTGGTCTTCCATGGGCCAAGTCATCAAATTCCTGTCATTGAAACATAAAGTCGCCCGTGGGCCCCTGTGGGTATAGGCGGCACACAGCGCGCTGTGACGATGCTTTCGAGGCATGACTCAGGGCACGAGCAGGCGTCGCTTGTGATTACCCCCAGCATTGTGCCCTGCGGAGGTCCATATGGCTGTTTCGCTGCCATGGAGCTGAATCAATACATCTAAAACTAGCACAACTCCCTCATGCAAGGCCAGCGCAGCGTGTGTCACCTAGCCACAGGCGTGGGAGCTCGAGCGGGAAGACTTGGGGGGCCGGCCATGCGCTGCAGACCAAGTCGCAAGCGCGTGGCACTACAGTGACCGTCTGCACAGACAGCTTGAAACGCCGACCCACTACAATATCTCACAAACACTGCATGATTGTACTTGAGTGCTGCCCGCGCACCTCAGTCCGCGTCGTCTTTGGACTGTGCCGTTGGACTTGATTACAAAGCATGCAGCCACGCGCCCCGATGCGCGCCCAGCATGTCGCAGAACACACGCACAGTCAACACCCCAGGTTCCTCCTTGTGTAAGGGAAAGGCGCTCACCTTTGCTATGCTGACTGTTGAGCAAGGCAGGGCCATTGACATTCTGTCACCGGCCCTTCAGCTCAGGTGACACAGGCAACACTCTTTGCCAGGCGATCACAGATCACTTGCAGTTGCTCAACACCATTGATTATACCTCGAGTGACCCGAATCGGGACGCCTGCGCACCGAGATCGCTCGCTTCAGATCGACAATGATGTATTCGAGAGTCCGAGGCAAAGACTACAACAGGAATGGCAGTGTCTCTCGCGATCATCAAATCTTTGATTTGCCAGCCGCGGATTTCCCTCCGATGCCCTCCGTGTGCGCCTTTGCGTGCTCGCTGCTTCCGCCATGTGGCAGGGCAGCCAGCCCGCTCTGCTGGCTACGGCCAGCGCATTGCTGCTGCTACTGACGCCTTCTCTGATACAAGCCGAGGAGGTGACAGTGCAGTTCGCTGCACGTACCTGCTGGTTTGGGTCCGTGTCGCCGGGGCCCCCCATGGCCATTCTGCACGCAAGCAGGATCGTTCCAAGAAGCTGCTCCCTTTAGCGCCCCGCCCCACGTCCCCCGCCCTGCCCCATGCCCCCCAAACACCCAGGCGCCGGGAACGCACAGCAACAGCGCAGTGTGCCGCGCCCACATCGTGGACGACGCGCGCATCCTGCCAGCCGCCGCCGGCCGCGGAGCTGGCGAGCTCCGAACCCCAGCGCCCAGCAGCCGGGACACCTTGGCAGTCGTCGTGCAGCTGCGCCACCCAAACGTAGCGGCCCTCCAGGTGACAGGGGGCGCAACCAAGCGCCGCCACGTCCGCCTGCTGCAATCGCCTGTATCTCCGTATATGTCATGCAGCCGGACCATCCCGCTTGCTTGGTTTTTTGCACGTGCTCCACCCGGCCGTTCTATGCACCAATAAGAAAGGGCCTTGATGCGGCCCTGCGCAGCACGAGGGCCTGAACACCAATGAGCCCTCTCCCTCGCTCCTGCCGCCGCCGCCGCCCTTCTCTATCGCCCCAGGTCCAGCTTTCCGCGCAGCCGGCGGGGCAGATGGGCGACACGCGAGCTGCCGTCCTCAAGGCGCAGGGGCCACCTGGTGCCTTTGGCGGAGCAGACATGGTGCAGGTGCGAAGTGCAAGCTTCGCTCATGCGGAGGCTGTTTGGAACCCACCCGCTGCTTGAGGTGCTCCTCTGCTGTCTGCCTTTGGCGTGTCCCCCTTGCACTTGCCCTGTACCTCCGATGAACCAGCACATCAGGTGCCCCTCTCCTCCGCCACCCGGCCCTGTTTGCGATCGCGACGCTGGTGGGAACCCTCGCAGACTGTGTTCAGCGACTCTGCAGAAGCTGCGTTCCCAGACAGCGCGGTAGGAGGGCCTCGCGCCGCAGCGGCGCGAGCATACCGCCCGAACCCCGGCCGGGGCGGCTGCGTGCAAGCGGGGTGTTGAGAATGGAAGCATAATAGACCTATTCGCCGCCGCCGCAGCCTGGGACACCGCTGCAGCCTTTCCCAGGATAGGAGCGCTAACATCTGCCCGGTCGCGCCCGCACGCGGCGCAGGCCGCGGCGCCCTTCAGCGACGCCTATCGCCCCGCCCAGCCGCTCGCGCCGCTGCTGGGGGCCCTGAGCGACGCGACACGCACCACCAACAGCAGCGGCGGCGTGATTTGGACGCTCGCCGTGATAGACGCGCATGGCGGCAGCGCCAGCAGCAGCGGTGAAAGCAGGACCCCATTGCCACTGAAAATAGAGGAGTGGGAGCTGTGGCTATGCAGCACAGGAGGCAGCAGCGCTGGCGGCAGCGGCAGCGCTGGAGGCGCGGCCACCAATGCGACCGGTCCGGCCACAAGGCAGCCGCCGCTGCCCCGTGTGTTCGCCCAGGCTGGGGCAGGCTCTGGCGGTGGCGGCAGCCGCAAGGACACGCAGGGGGGCGACAGCAACACCAAGGAGCCCGCCAGGAAGGTGCGGCGCGAGGCTGGGGCACAGGGCTGGACGTCTCCCAGGAAGGCCGGGCAGCCAGTACGAGCAGCAAAGTCGTCGCAGGTTCGACCAGATTGTGCATGTGCTTTTCTTTCCCGCGCGTACGGTCACCCCCCCAGCGACGCGCGCCCGCCCGTCCCACCCTGCCCGCGTTCACTGGATGGTCCCCAGGGTGGAGGCTCCCTCCATGAGTTCTTCTCGACGGAAGCCCAGGAGCGCCTCGCGGCCGCCTTTGCCCGCCTCGCGGCCGCCAACCCCGCGGCCGCGGCGCACCTCAAGGGGGACGTCCAAGCCCTTGGGGCCGGCCTGGGGAAGCTGCCGGCTGTGGCGGGCTTTTCGGGCCCTGGGAGTGCCAGCAGCGGCGCCGGCGCCGGCACGCGGCACAGGCGAGACGGTGCGCTGAGTGTATGCGCGACGAGCGATCACTGGCGTTCTCACACCCTGCCTCGTAAGCCCCTTGGTGCTGAGGGTTGCACGCTGGCGCGTGCGCCGTTTTAATCTTATCGACAGTTGCATGCCCGCCCTCCATCCACTGGACAAAACGGCTCCTGCTACCCATGCACCTCCTCCCAACACTGCCTGTGCAGCTGCCTCCCAGCTTCTCTTTGGCGGCGGGAAGGACCCGGCCACCCGCGCCCCAAGCTTTGCCCTCACCCTTCTGCACTGCTACTACGACTTGTTCTGGTGAGCCATAAAATAAAGTCGCGATGCACTCACGTACATGCGGCGTATGCCTGCTTACATGAAGCTGAATCACCGCAAAGAACTCCATCTACTCCCGCCAGGGGACGCGGGCACTGACGCCACGGCGTTGCCGGGGTGCCCCTCGTCGCCACACACAGGTGCTGGAAGAATGCCGGCGTCGGAGGGTCCCTGTCGTACCAGCTGGCCAGCGCGTGGGATGCGGACAGCCGCCCGGCAATCTCCGCGTTCGAGGCCGCGAGGGACAACGCGTTCGACGCGGTCGGGCGCTTTGTGGGTGGGCGGCGACGTCCTGCGACCGACAGGCTGCGCCGGGGGGGCGCAGGGCTGCCATGACTGGCCGAAAGCATCCACAGCAGGCTGAGGCCTCCGGCGCCGGGCCCCGCCTTCCCAGACGAATCGACTGGCCTCTCCCTTGACATCGAATGAGAGCGGCCCCCTACTGCCAGGGGCAGCTGTGTTCCCTCTGCAGAGGAGTCATCCCCTACCC